ATATCAAGTCCACCGCTTTCCCCATATCCACAGAGCCAGTTATCTCGTCATAGAAGGCAGTCAGATTGGTCAGGCATGACGTGCCCTTGCTGAATCCATGCTGACTGTTCCTGATCACCTTCCTCTCCTCCTAGTGCCTGTGCCATGTACATTGTACATAGCCACAGCAAGGCCAGACGGGCTCTATACTGGGATGGTAAAACGAGCTGTCTGGTAACCGTTCCATCGTGGGAGGATGTGTGCACTGTTTCTTGAAAACTGAGGAGGAAACCAGACTGGGGGGAGATGGGAGGCGGCAGCTCTATAGTGAAGCAGAGAAAAAAGGGAGAACTCCTCGTAGTCTAATCAGTGCCCTCCATCGGTGTCATTGTGCTTCTTTACTGTTGTCACTGGCACACCGTGCCGGTCGACGTGCAGGGCCAAACACTCCACAAGTCTTAACCAATGGAGCTGCAAGCATTTACAGGAGCTGAGAGTTTGGGTCTACGCATCCTAAGTGAGGGTCACCTAGAGGGCTCCACCATTGCCCGGAAGTGAGCTGTGTTTCTGGGACAGCCCTCCAGCCTGTACAGAATAGAAGCATTTCAAAGCAAGGATTTCTGGAGCAGGTTTTTCAGAAGCAAAGTATATGAAATACCAACTACGTTGAGCTTCCATTTAGGTTCTGATTGAAGTGTGCTTTAGAAAGTAAAGGACAATTCATCACTGATTCTCAGCCCATCTTTAGGGACATAAACACGCCCCCTTTACTGCACACATACCGCTCTTGTGAGTTGGAGAGATTGTTGAAAGCTCCCGGGATTAGCTCCCTGCCATTCTCCAAAGAATATGGATATTTAGACGGCATCTTCACACTTGCAATTACTGCTCTCCGAGAAGAGGGCATGATTTGGCCAGGTGTGGCACTCTCCATCCTGCTCTGAGGTCGATTTGTATATTGCCATCTGAAAAATCCTGTTCCAGAGGCAATGCATTGAATGTAAGTTACAGCTCACCCTGAGACATAGTAATTCTTGGTGTCTAGATATACACATTCAAAATCCAGGAAGAGCAAGGATGGGCTCAGACAGCCACACTTTGGTTCAAGCATTTGGCTGTGTTTTGGATTTACAAGGATAAAATCAAAAGCTTGCTTAGTTTTGGATTCAGAGTCCACATGAAGCAAGGAATGGCCTCAAGCTTTCTTAGGCAGGTACTGTAAGGAAAGGGGCTGGATTAATTCTAGATACAGCAGCAGAACTGTGCTGGTGATGGTCTGGAGATTGTCATAGCATAGAAAAGGGTTAAATGGGAAAGTTGTGCCATTGGAACCATGTTTCTTACAAAAGATAATTTTGAACGCAATAAATCCACCTACAGTGCAATCAATGAGCCAGCCAGAACCTCTCATTGATTCCATGGTACAGTCGTGCACACCGATATTTGCAGCTCCAGCAATAAGCCTTATGGGGAAAGCAGTATATCTGGCGATGCACAAGTGTCTGAAATCTGCTCTGCTCATTCATGTTTCACTTTGAGTCAAAGTTTGTTACTTTGTCCACAGCAGAGGCCCTTAAGAGTGGTAAATCAGAAATACAGTGCCTTCTGTAATGTTTCTTCTCTACATTGTGCTGCTATATAAGAATGGCCATTCTGGGTCAGACCAGTGGTCCACTTAGCCCCGTATCCTGTCTTCTGACAGTGGCCATTGACAGATGTTTCAGAGGGAATGAACGGAACAGGGCAATTTATCAAGTGATCCATTTTGGCTAATAGCCATTGATGGATTTATCCTCCATGAACTTAGGTAGTTCTTTTCTGAACCCAGTTATGCTTTTGGCCTTCACAACATCCCCTGGCAATGCAGGGGCAAGATTCTGCATTGCATCTCTTAATCTCCACACCACTGTGTCTGGTGGCCCCAGACACCTTCCTCCTTATGCGGGGCTTGCAAGGGGTTCTTTAGAGAGCAGCCTCCTAGCTCTCTCCCACCATGCCTGCACTGGGGGGATTTTTACCTAGCCAAATAAGAGGCCATGAGGGCCCCATTAGGCTGCCCCAGCCCTTTTAAGCCAGCGCAAAAGGGCAGGCACAGGGGTGAGGATCTCACATGGGGTTCCCTACAGATTTTCGCGCTCTCGTGGTGTTCATCTCAATTTGAGCTTTCCCTTGTAAAAAGTTTCTAGGTTTGAAGACAGGCTTTCCCCTATGACTGTCTGGCGTATTGTCTTCAGGCTTGACAAAGCCTTGGCTGGGATGGTTTAGTTGGGGATTGGTCCTGCTTTGAGCAGGGGGTTGGACTAGATGACCTCCTGAGGTCCCTTCCAACCCTGATATTCTATGATTCTGTGGGTGACCAGTCCAGGCGTGAGCTGGGCAAGATGCTAACTGCCACGTTCGTCTCAGTGCAGTGTTAATACACCAGTAGCTGTAGGCCACCGGCAGTATTTCGGCGCTGTCGTAGACCCAGTCTAGGTGATAAAACACACCCTCGTTAAACGTGGCAATGGCCGAAACACGTTATACAGGTAATCTACTGGTGCCTGTGTGGACAGGGGAATAACAATCAATCCACCACTTTTTATCCTGCTAAAATCTTCTGCAAGGTCTTTTTGAACAAACAAATAGTGAAGAGCAAGATTCAAAAGGAAAAGTAATGGCGGCAGGGGCAGGAGGGGTTACTACCGGCCTCAATTAATTGTGCTCTTCCCCCCACCACAGACCTTCTTTAAAGTGTCATTCCCCCCCTTCCCCCTCCCCCCCCCACATTTTCATTCAGTGCCCCGCCAGGGCCCAAAATCACAGCTGCCCGTTAATCGAGAACCCTGGGCACATGCAGAGCCAGGTCATTTGAAATCACGTCCACATGCTCCCCAATCCATTTTGCTCTCTTACAGAGCCCCCCAGTTACCTACACCCCACTGGATCTTCCCCGATAATTCTGCTCTCCCCACACAAAGCTCCCTGACACTGTCCCTCCGTAGAGCTTCCCAATTAAGCCCATGATCACCGGTGCCTCCCCTGGTGCTGGAAGGACCTCAGAGAAGATCAGAGGCTTTCCTCTTCTTCAGCGCCCTACCAAGAGCCCCAAAGTCTTCAATAAGTCCCACATGATTCGGTGTGGGTGGTGCCAGGGTGAGTGAGCACCAGGGGAGGTTTGCCAGTCAGTGTCAGAGCCCGTGGGGATACAGTGACGCCTCGTAAAAGGAATAGTGTCTGTTAGTACAGCTGGACTGGACAAATGAGTTCATTTTTAAAAATACATTCTCTCCTAACTCTCCGTGAAGATGCATGCGTGCACCTTCCATTCACGCGAGCAGGACCTGGACATGCAGAACCCCTGCCCTTGGCTATGTTCATGGTGAAACAAGACAAGTGCTGCTAAAGCTGTGGGGTCATGAGCAGGAACAAAACCTGTGCCCTGGGTCATAAAACCAGACTGGGTGAAACCCTGGCCTCATTAAGCCCATGAGGAAACTCCGCTTGACTTCCGCGGGACTAAGATTTCACCCAACATGTATTAAGGGGTGACTTCCCCCCAAGGAGTCAGTGTTATTCACAGAGTAAGAGATTCAGCCGGGTTTTGGGCTGGTGAAGTAGGGAGAGTTTGGGAAGGCAAAAAAAATCCACTGTCCAATCCATGGCCGGGGTACGTGGCTGCCTCTGCCACCAGCGCTGAAAGAGCAGCCGCGTTCCTTACCTGTCCCCGGGGAGCGCTTTGCTGGCCATGCTGCTGCAGCAGGGTGTCACGCTCGTCTTGCGCCAACGACGCCGGAAGGGGTAGGTCCGGGGTGAAGTGAGCAGCCTGTAGGAAGGGGAATGTCTGGGGGATCTGATAGGGATTCAGTGGCGCTCACCCTGCAGGGCAGGAAGTGGCTGGCAGGAGGGGTAGAGGCTCTGAGGCTGGGGGAAGTATTTGACAAAACTAAATAGAAAGCTCCTCCCAGTGAATGCTGCTAGCCAGTGTGGACTGTTACGGCTACCAGCTCTGAGCCCATGGTCAAGCCCTTCGCTTGCCCAGACTGCCTGCGTGGGGCTGGGACAGAGTCCCTCTCCACAGGGCAAAGGGGATGCCCGGGCCCCAGTGAATAGCCGTTGTGCTGATGCTCCTTGCAGGGCCGGAACAGGCGGCCTCGTACTGATAGAGACCCGGGTGAAGTGCTTAGAAATGACGAAAGCACAAGAGGCCGTATCGTAAGAGACTAACATGGTTACTACGGCGTCACTAGGGCTCGACCAAGGTTTACACGTCGGGCCTTCCCCCGAACAGGGAACAGCAACAGGGTCTGTGCTCAGTGTGACCCCCCCGTCCCTAACTGGGCAGGCCAGTCCCGAAATGTACAGTTCGAGTCCCGGTCCTGGGCTGAATGACTCCAGGACAGCATTTGTCCCCGATGCCCTGTGGCCCCGCTCTGCCTCCGCCTGAGGCTCGGGGCGGCGCCAGCCTCTTTCCCCGTGGGGGGCTGAGGGGAGCCTTAGCACCCCAGCGCCATGAGGCCCCGCCCCCTGCTCCTCCTCTCCCCCCCCGTGGCCCCGCCCTCTGGCCAGAAGCCGGAGACGGGCAGTAGTAAGAGTTGCCCAGGCAGCCCCAGAGTCCCGGACCCTCCCCTTGCCCTGGTCAGCGCACCCCAGGGACAGGGACACAGGCCAGGGCTTCTCTGGGGCACCCTAGCCCCCCGGCCAGGGCAGATGGAGGGACCAGGGCTCCCCACAACGGCCCGGGCTCCCTGGGCAGCTCTTACCATGGCTCAGCTCTGGCTTCTGGCCTGGGCGGGGCCACCGGGGGAGGAGGAGGAGCAGGAGGCGGGGCCTCATGGCAAGGGGGTGGGGCTCCTGTATGTGACCCGTTTTTTTGCATTTTGAAAAGGTGATCACCCTGTCTGTGCTATAAAAATACGCTGAAAGTTACTGGGGAGGTTCTTCTCGTAGGTGCTCACAGACTGCGCCTTTGGCAGGGGAGGAGTAATTGCATCATTAACCGGGGTTTTTTTCTTTCTTCCTGCTTCCTCTTGCTCTTCCAGAGCGACTACTCGAGTGACACAGAGAGTGAAGACAATTTCCTCATGATGCCCCCAAGGGATCATCTCGGCCTCAGCGTATTCTCCATGCTCTGCTGCTTTTGGCCACTGGGGATTGCTGCCTTTTATTTGTCACACGAGGTAATGTAAAAGTCTCTCCTGCTAACTCAGAACACTGTAGCCTAGGATTTGGATGGACCCAGTGTGATGTGGAAGGGGGCAACTGGGCATATATTTTTGGGTTACACACACACACACGTTGTGGGTAGCTAGAAGCAGAGAGGGGTTCAGAGTATAGATAACCCACTGGTGAGTGTGTGTTACAGGTCTCCTTCTGTGTAAATGCATATATCGATGGTGGTATATACCTACATGTTTTCCTTTGTACTGAGTACAGATGCTATAAAAGTCCTTAGCTCTGATTCTTGTGGTCCAGTCCTATGTTGCTTCATAGCTGAGAGGGTCAAGAATTTTCTGTTGGAAAATATCCTTTTTGGAAAAATTCAATTTTGCAAGGGAGAAACTTAAATGTTGCTGAAAAATTTCCATTCCCCCTTCCCAGGGAAACTCTAAATGACCACTAACAGACAGCCCACCTGGAAGGCTCTGTCAGTTTCATTTTCTGTCCAGGAGAAAAGTGAAATTGACAAGAGCATTCCAGGCAGGCAGAGGGAAAGCTGAAAAACTCCATTTTGGTTCTTTCCAAAATGGATTTTTTCTGGGAATCCCTTCCTGAGAACCTTTTTGCTTTTTTGACTTTTCAACCCCATTCAGATGGAAAAATTTCCAAAAACATGAAATTTGTCTCAGGAAGGATTTCCCTTTTCCAGCCACAGTATGACAAATATCCACTGAACGTCTCTACATCTCCCTCCAGTACGTCTTCATAAAGCCTGAAATCTCTCAGAACAGAGGGTCATGTAACTTACAGGCCTGGAATCCCATTGGTGGGCTCGTCAGTGGTCATAATGAAGTGAGCTGCCAACACTAGGCTGTTAGCTGTTACCACTCAAGAAAGAGATCTTGGAGTCATTGTGGATAGTTCTCTGAAAACATCCTCTTAGTGTGCATTGGCAGAAGTTGGGAATCATTAAGAAAGGGTTTAGTTTATCAATTTGTTCCAAAATCTCCTCTAATCACACCTCAATCTGGGACACTTTCTCAGATTTGTCATCTAAAAAGACTGGCTCAGGTTTGGGAATCTCCCCCACATCCTCAGCCGTGAAGGCTGATGCAAAGAATTCATTTAGTTTCTCCGCAATGGCTTTATTGTCCTTGAGTGTTCCTTTAGCATCTCGATCGTCCAGGGCCCCCAATGGTTGTTTAGCAGCTTCCTGCTTCTGATGCACTTAAAAAAATTTTTGCTATTACTTTTTGAATTTTTGCTATTACTTTTTTTTTTTTAACTATTACCAAGTGGTCAGCAAGCAGCAGCCTGTTGCAGAAGACAAGAGCCCACTTACTATTACAATTACCTGGCTCTGTCAAATTTCAGAGGGCCTGCTGGGGAAAATGGTCCTACCAGAAGGCATCCTTGCAATTCAGATAGATTAATAGAGGCTTGATTGTCAGAAAGGAAGGTACAGTGTGTTGTATATTACCTCTAGGGCAGGGTGACAAGCATTTGGGGGGAAGGAGTCAACAGTTTTTGTTTTTTAATTTAAATATATTGTGAAATGTTAGTATTATTAAACTCCCTTTTAAAATGTAAAATGTATTTTTGAAAGCTGTTTTCTCCCCCCCCCCAAAAAAAAACCCCAGACAAATGGTCTCTGAATGGTTATTGAGAGGTTTGGGGTTTTTTTGAATTTAAAGTGTTTGAGAATGTTTTCCATCCATTATTTTGGTGTGGCAGTGGTGAGAGAGAGACACGCACACAAAGTGGGGAAGGTAACGTCTCTTATTGGACCAACTTCTGTTGGTGAGAGACAAGCTTTCGAGTTACACAGCGCTCTGCTTCAAGTCTGGGAAAGGTACCCCGAGTGTCACGTTAAATCCAAGGTGGAACAGATTGTTTAGCATACGTAGTTAACACATAGTGCAAGATATTACCTCACCCACCTTGTCTCTCGCATATCCTAAGGAACCGTTCTAGGTGAGGTAGCCTGTTAACACCCTATAGTCATAGGTCTAAAAAGGGATGTTCGTGCATTGCAGATTGTTGTAATCAATAAATCCAGTGTCTTTATTAAAACTATGATTTTAATGGCTAGCAGAGTTATGAATTTAAGCTCCCAGGCTCACCTTTTGAAAGTGGTGCACAGGTTTCCTTTGAGGATGAGGACTGAGAGGCTAGACATAGAGTGGTCGCTTTGTGAAAAGTGTTCACCCACCAGTGATGTGGTGTTTGTGTCTTTTGTCGCTTTCCGGTGTAAATTTATTGGAGAGCGCAGTGATTGTCTGGTTTCCCCCACATAGTTGTTGTTGGGGCATTTAGTACACTGGTTGAAGTACAGCACACGTTGTGATAGGCTTGTGTAGGATCCAGGGATCTTGAAAGGTGTGTTGTGGGGGGTGTTGATCATTGCAGCAGGTGGAGATATGTCTGCAGGTTGCATCTGTTGCTCTGGCAGGGTCTGGTGCCGCTTTGAGTTGGTGGTTCCCGGTCTGTGGGGAGCTTGCTTCTGATGAGGAACTTGGCGAGGTTGGTGGTGGTGGTGGAGGGGGGGAGTTTGCAGGTCAGAAGAGAGTGCATCATGGAATGGGCCACCCAAATATACCCCAAGAGAACTTCTTAATACGGGGGGGTGTGGGAGCCTTTGACCACACACCCCTAGCTGCACCTACCACCCCATAGTGGAACCCACACAGGGTATCATCAAACAGCTACAACACATACTCGATGTGGACCCCCTGCAGAAAGAAATCTTTCCTGAACCCTCTCTTCTGGCCCCATTTTACAGACAGGGAAACTGAGGCATGGGACACTGAAGTGGCTTGTCCATGGTCACCTGGCAGGCCAGTGGCAAAGTCAGGACTAGAACCCAGGTCAACTGAGTCCCAGTCCAATGCTCTGTCCTTTAGACCTCACTGTCCTATCATGTCATGCGACATATCACGTCTGACAGATAAATAAACGATTGACGGCAGAGTCAAGGCGGGTAGTTTGCAACCAGGCTTATTGAGATTTGTGTGCATGGACAATTCTGCAAATACTCATGTGCAACAAACAAATGTGCAGAAAAAGAACAAAAGACTAAATTCATCAGACAACTTGTTCGCAACAAATACCATCATAGGAACAGCTCTGGTTCTTGGGGACGTTGCTGTCCCATGCAGCAAAAGGGATGAGACAAAGGACGTAGGAGTGTTGGCTTAAATTTTCAAAAGCGATGAGTGGCTTTTCAGTGTCTCTATTTTTAGTTACCCAAATTGAGACACCTTAAAAAGGGGAATGGCTTTCACTAAGACACCCTCTGAAAACATGGCCCCTTTGCGGGGGTCTCAGGTTGGGCTCCCAAAGTCCCTAGTTGCTTTGAAAATGTAGACCAACATTTCAGCTCAGGGTTAAGTGCCGCACTGGGGCAGTGCGGAGAGGCCTGTATGGCCCTGGCCTATGCAGTATCTATTCTGTAGATGCTTTATCCTCTCCATCCTTTCAGGCCGACATCTTATGTAAGCATTAAATTCACGTTCCAATAAAATAGTGTAATATCATCAGAGAGCGAGTGAGAGTGAGTGCTTTGAAGTGTCTCTCCTGAGAACTCAGAAAAGGAGCCTTTTCTTTGTCCTTGTAACAAAGCAATATTTTAGAAGGCTTGAGCTTTAAACGGCTTTGCAAATGAATGACTCCGACAAACCCTTATGTTTCGGGATCGAGTCAAAATTAGAAGCATTTCTTCAGTCTCCTCGCGCAAAGCTCTTGTGAGGAAGGTGCTCTTCAAAGACGAGAAGGTTCATGGCAGAAATCTTTGCAGCTGGGCTCCAAATCCAGCAGTCCCAGGCTGCGCTTCCATCCTTCACACCTTAGACCCCACTTCCCCAGGAGAATTGGTACTTAGTGTTGTGATTTAAAAACCCCTCCTGTCAAGGCTTTCCAGGCTCCATACAGAAGACACAGTGATGTCTTGGTTCTTTTTAAACTGTTTAAATATTAATAGTTAGTTAATATTGCTTCTATTTAATTCATATTATTGCTGTATTTACATTGGCCTAAATCTTGAAGTCCATACTCAAAATCACTCAGGGAAGCTCCCAGTGGGCCAGATCCTCAGCTGGTGTAAATTGCCACTTCAGTGGAGTTACACCAACTTACACCATCTGAGGATCCAGTTCATTGACTTCAGTGACAGTTTGCACCAGTAATAACCTCAGCATTTGCCCCACACTGCATGTTGCGAAGGTGGCCAAGATCAAGCACTCAGCAGTTAGGAAATGCCAGCATTAAGGTTGCCTGTGTAACCTTAATTTGGCCCCTTTCTGTTTATTTGGTCCTATTCTGCCTACGTGTTAGGATAGGCTTTAATTACACAATCCCATACTGTTTTTCCCCAGGACCCCAAACTCATTCAGTGACTGGGTAGCTGTTTAATACCTTTCTTTAACCTCTTCATCCAAAGTCCAGCTTGAAGCCTTATTCCCTGCCCAGAACAGCGAATTATTCACATCCTCCCGGGCAGTGCTCTCTCCAGTGTGTCTGAGGGCTAGATCCACAAAGGGGACTCAGACACAGCGTAGCAACACCGAACGTTTAGGTGCCCCGCCGTCAGATGGAATCCACAGCTCTGAGTTAGGCGTCCAGGCTCCCTGGACAATGCTTGCGGGGGGAGAGGTGCTGTGAGACCCACAAAAGCCAGCATTTCGAACGGGGCGCCGCCTAAACTAGCCAATAGGAAATGCCAAGGAGAGGGGTGTGGCCTACGCCCCACCTCTTAAAGTGACTTGGGTAGCTAAGTCCGAGACACTTCCTTCCGTTCAGGATTCACAGCCAGGAGTCCTCTCCTGGAGTCTGGCACCAAAGCCCTTTCTCATACAAATCCAAGGCACCAGAGGTGCCCTTATAGGCTTTCGCCTAGTGGTTTGGACACTCATCCAGGCTATGGAAGGCTCATGTTTGATTCCCCCTCTGGCTAGGTAGCAGGGTCCTGACTGCGCATCTCCTTTCTTCCCAGGTGAGTGCACTAACCACTGGGCTGTAAAGT